ATACTTCCTAGAAGCTACACACGGAGCAGAGTTGTCAGGCACAGGTGAATGTGGAAAGACAACTTGTATTTAACTGACAGGAAGGGGTAGGGGGGAAATGATGGATTTTTGCATTCTTCAGTCATTACATAGAATGAAAAATAATTTGTCTGGCTACAGACAGACTCATCTTCTGACTGCTCTACAGCTCTATTTCACATCATTCCTTATCCTTCTGTTTTTGACAAGCACCTTCTGAAACTTGTTCTCCAGAAACAGAATAAATTCCAAAAGCATGGACTTACTCAGAAAAGCACCATAATTACTTACCAGAGGGATGTATATGTGATGTTCACACTGGGGTCAGAGGGACTTCACGATGACTCAACACCAACTGCTGCTGTTTGGGATCTCAGCAAGCTGCTTTATGTTAAAGCTTCTTCCTTTTAACTAAGTATGATTTCCACCATTAGCCACCACTTTCTCACCCAGCTGACCCACTCTACTCTGAAAGAAACATTTGTCACTGAACTAACCACTCCAGCTTCCCATTTTCAAGATGAAAGTCCCTTTATCTAGTCCATTTCTTGCCATTTCTGTAGCTCTCCATCAATGATTCTGCCTTTCCATTTTCCCTAGATCTATCCTTACCATGTGACAACACAGCTAACTGGCTCCCTAAATACCAACTGCTTTTCTTTTATAAGTTGCTCTCCACCATTTTCCCTGAAAATAAATTAATTAAAGATACTTTTATCTTGCGGCTAAAATCTCAAAAATTGCAATCTAGGAAGATGAGCCACAGTCTCTCTAGGTTAATTTCTCTCCCACTTCTCCTATAACATTGCCATTTCTTTCCAAACAAGGCTGAATTTGATTTTCAAAGGCAGAAAGGAAGAAACAGTTAAATGCTGCTTTCCTGAAAAAAGATCAAAAAGATGCCACATATCCCTGAGAAGGCCAGCTATAAAAATCCTAATAAAGTACAAAGGGGAGCAAGAGTGCACCTGCAGTCCCACTGCAGAGGCAGGCTGACCACACACAGGACAGACACAGTAAAGGCAGAGAGGAAACAAGAAGAAGAATCACCAGCCTGGAACCATTCCTGTAGGATGTTAACAGAAACTTCTCTTGACCTAAATTCCATTTAACATCACCTTATCCATACTGGGTTTGTCACAGGGGAAGAGGTTGGGGTAGCAACAAGAATTGAGAGACATCATTGCATCACATAATCTGAATCAAATAAAGTCATGTTATATTAATCAGGATGAGTGTGGCATTTCTATCCCAGCTTGTCTATCCCATGATACACAAAAATCAAGAGCCAGGTGATGCTGCCACAAGGGACCCTGAGGAACAGTGCTCCTCAAGGAGCTCAGTTGCTCCAGCTGCTCAGTGTGCCCAAGTGCTGACCAGTGGCCTGGACCTCACACCAAGCTGTTCCCTTCCTAGTGGCATGGCCCTTGCCATGCCCCCCCACACCTGGGGCTAATGTTTAAATTTCTTTCTCATTTATTTATTATTTAGCCCTTTCTGATTTAAACTTTCAGCATGAGCCATGAAAGTCTCACCAATTCCGCTGCCCGTATCTAAGGTCAATCAGCACCAACATTTCTGTAACTCTTCTTCTGTAACTCCCACTGCAAACATTTTGCAGGAAGCAGGAACTGCTACAGAGCAAAGCCCTTCTATTGCCTTTCATTTTCCAGGATTGATCAGGCCAGCTGCTGCTGGGCAGATGCAGCCAAGGCCTCCTCTGTCTGAGCAGGCAGGCCTCACTCCACAGCACAGGTTTCATACAGACTCTTCTTTGGGCAACCTGAGCTCGTTAGATTTTCTGCTCAGAAATGTTTCAGTTCATCATCTGAAAAAGTGTATCACATTCCAAGATAAGGTTTCTTGAAATCGATCTTTAGATCATTCTTAGACAAATGTTACCTACTTTGGGTTGACTTGTTTTCATAACAAAGCAGTCCCAGATCTATGCTCTACTCTACTGATGTAAAGGATCCCATTCACCATTTTAACACCTCTGCATCCTTCACAGCCATACTGTACCTTTTGCTTGCTTCCTTCAACACCTACGCTGATATGGCAAACTCAACACACAAACACGCACACATACACACAACCCAAAAAGAGTAAGCATTTACTTTAGTATTCCACTGTGAAGGATTTTTAAAATCTCATTAAACTTTGCTTATGAAAGAAACACAAGCCTGAAGGAAATTCTTGAAGAAAATCCTTTTTGAAGTCTAATTACCCAGAGTAACATTTCCCATGAAAATTATCTACAGAAACCACTGCCTTTTCCCATACCAGGATAGTCAAAAGCTTCCAAACCAGAAAACATTTAGTTACAAGGAAAAGAAAACAAAAAAAAAACCAAAAACAAACTCCCAAAAATCTCTAGGAACTGTTTGAATTGTTCGGTGGTTTTAAAAAATATTAAAAAATACAGGAGTAATGTACAAGTATTTGCTGCCCTATACATGAGGCAGAGGGGCTAATTAAATAATTAGGACAGGCTCATTTTATACATACACAAACATTAAAAATATAAACACACACATGTTTAGCAGCAAAGGGCTGGCAGTTCCTTCCTGTCTCCCACTGCAGGGACAGCAGGTTCTCCAGCATGGCACAGGCACAGAAGGCTGACTGAAGTCCTTTAAGAAATACAGCCCTCCTGAGACAAAGCCCCATGATAAAGAAGCATAGATTCCAGGGAAAAACCCTTGCTGATATCCCATGTGCTGGCAAGAACAAGAGCAAAATCATTCACTCCCACCACACTAAGAAGCCCATCAGTAGGCTGCGGCTCAGCTGAAATGTACAGCACCCAGGGGTACACACACACACAGTCACACACTCCTGGGCCAGAGGAATACGGGAAGATGTTCTATGAACACTCTCTGCTCATCCCCAGAGTGGACTGGAGAAAGAGGTGGCAAAGGAGAGCAGTCTCATGCCTGCCACCATCTGCAATAGAGCAGGAGGCCAGGGACTACCCTGTCACACCAGTCACAGAGCTTTAACTTCCCACAGCCATGGCAGCTTTGTAATAATGTAATATTTAATATATATTTAATGTAATAATGTCCAAATTGCTTCTCAGATGCAGAGCAACTCTGACACCTGTCAGTAAAGTTGTGGTTTTGATGGCTGTACAAAAACACATCTGAGCATATAAAATTACAGAGTACAGCCCTCCAACACCAGCACTTCGAAAAAAACCCATGAGTGACCCTACAAGTATATGCAAACCAGTGTTCACATCACAGACATTTATGAATGAGCTCCCAGAATGGGCTAAGAGCAAAAATATCCCAGTAATAAGCAAGGCTGCAGCCAAGGCCCCCCACAGTACAGCTCTAAGTTCTCTGGAGGATCTGGGAAAGCAATGGCAAATTAATGGGAAGTGGAAGAAGCATGCTTGATGAACTACAGTACAACAAACAGCCTTCAGCAGCAAGGGGAAATGTTTAGGAATCTTCAGTAACAAACCCTCCAATACCGTTTTCCAGAGATACATCCTGCCACTTACTTGGAAAGAAAATGTTGTTTAAATATAAAACTGTTACAGTTTTCAAATAATCAGTGTTGTACACATCTCTGGTAATTTATCTAAGGTGGAGAGAAAAGATCAAGTAGTCTCCTTGTGTAGTTTTTAAACAAAAATAAATGAGTATTTATTACATATACATAAAAATGCTTCACTAAACATATAAGATCCATAACAATGACATCTGTTTAACCTCTAAAGGTCAAGGTCATGTCATTTACACCAAGATAAAAAGTCTAATTATAGTATCTACAGCTGTATGGGCAAAGGCTGGTTATTAGAAAAGAACTATTATAAACCAAACACAATTACACTGTAGAGAAACCATTAGATACTTGATGAGATTTTAATCTTTGAGCTGGTATCATTCTGCAAGTTAATCATCTAGAGAACAGAAAATCTGTTAGGAATGCAATTAAATGTACTAGTTCCATTAAAATTGAGCTGATATAGTTAATTGTAGTCCTAAAATAGCAATTTCCTCACACCTTCACTAAGCAATTTTTTTCATCTACTGAGTAATAGTCTATTTAAGGAACACTTTTCACTTAAACTCTGAAATAAGATTTGTGAATACTTTTGTTTTCTCACGCTACCCCATACAAGTTGCATTGACGTTTGTTATTTGACCTTGGCTTCCTAATTTGCTCTGAGAAGTCCAGCAAGGTCTTTTGTTTCAGTTACTCTGAGTCCATGGTACCTGCATTGCTGAAGCTTTCGGGAAGAAAATCACCAGTGTATCCTCCCAGCACACGACAGCAATTAGAAACTGACATGAAATGACGAGCCAATGGCAAAGCTCACGTCATACAGTCATTTTAGGCATCAGCACTTTGGGCGAACACATGATTTCCAAACATCAATTTCAATGAATGCATCTTCAAAGTACTTGGAAGGGATTTGCAGCCCTGCTAGCAAATTGGGAATACAGGCCGTTCCTGCCTTTTTTGGAGAGGAACAGAACGAAAGCAAAAAGGTATACTAAGAGTGCATCAACTTGGCAATAGCTAATCTGCAACTGAACCTCACAGACCACACAGTTTATTGGAGCATTTTAAATTGCTCTGCAGGGAAGGGCGAAAAAATCACGACTCCGGGGAGCGCCAGGGAAGCCGGGGCTGCCACCGGCGCATCTCTCTGCGCGGATGCCGTTACGTAACCCCGGCCCGGCCCGGCCCGGCCCGGCCCCCCCCGGTCCGGATGCTCCGGCTGCGCCCCGGGGCCTCAGAGCCACGGCCGGGCCCCAGCCCCAGCCCCGGCCCCGGCCCCGCCGCGCCCCGGCCGCTCCCGCCCTCCCCGGCGGCCCCGCCGCGGCACCGGCACCGGCAGCGCCCGCCGAGCCCGGCTCCGCCGCCGCCCGCCCCGGGACTCCCGCACAGGCCAGGCCCGGCCCGGCCCGTCCCGCCGCTCCGGGCCCGCACCCGCGCCCCCAGCGCCGCCGCTCCGCGCCCACCTCCTGGCCGGGATCCGCGGCGCATCCCCGCTGCGGCCCGGGAGGCTGCGCCCCGCCGCTCCCGCTCCCTCCCTCCGTCAGGCGGGCGGGCGGGGAGCTGCGGCGGGAGGGAGGGAAGGAGGGAGGGGGCGGGCAGCCGCAGCCCCGCCGCGCCGCCCCCCGCCCCCGCCCGCCGGCCAAGGTGCCCTCGGCCGGCCGTACCCACCTGCGGCAGCGCCCCGGGCCCGGGCACAGGTGCGGCACCGCGCTGAGGAGGGGCTGGGGCTGGGGCAGCGATGCTCCGCCGAGCGCGGCTGCGGCCCTCTGCGCGCAGCGGCGGGGCGGCGCCGGGCTCGGCTCGGCACGGCTCGGCACCTCGCCGTCCCTCCCGCAGCCGACCCCGGTGCGCCCAGCAAAGCCCCGAGTCGGGTTGCTGCTGGCGTGACGGAGAAGGCGGGCGGCGGCGGGGACCGCGTAACGGGCCTGGGTCATGACATCGGGTCTGGAATTGCACGGGAAAGCACGTGCCGCGCTGGAGCACAGGGATCTCCGTGCCAGGGGCGGGAGCGCGGTGCCAGACAAAGGGGTGCCGCCGGGGGACAGCGCTCTCAGCAGCAGCCTAAGCGCCTTTCCCACCCAGGCTTGGTGACACAAGCACGACACCCAGCCTTGCACCGTCACCCTCCCGCAGTGGTCGCTGCGTTAGCCGATCAGTCTTTGTCAGCTGATAATGGGAGGTTGTAAAAAACACATTACATGCGCCAGAAAGCTGCCGTAGAAATTACTCCTCTGATTTAATTTGTATTAGGTTTTTGGGGGTCGTTTTGTTTTGGTCGGTTGGATTTTTGGGGATGGGGAATTGCTTTTTTTTCCCTGTAGATCCTCCATCACAGCTTTTTCAACATCCTTGATAGCTTAAACAAACCTTTGGAAAGGGGAAGCTGGACTGTCTTGTGTGGAGAACCCATGGAGTGGAACAGGTCACCCTGCTGTGGAGCAGGCAGTTACAGACTCATCGGTCTGGTTGTGACATGCCTCTGGCACCCTGGTCACTCCCTGTCCTCCCCTGGGCTGCACCTCCTGCCCTCCAGAGGCGGCTCTGAGGCCTCTCTTGGCAAACTGTACTCAGACTGTTTACATCCCCCACCTCAGCCCTGCTCTCTGGTTCACAGTAGCAAGATTGGAAATAGATGTTGTCGTCCAAGAAAATCAATTTAAATCCCTGGAGAGCCGGATGCCACCGCCAGCAAATTTCAATAAGAGAATGGGGAAAAGGGCAAATACTGCAGAAAAAAGTAGATTTACAGAATTCTATAAATTATTGAACCTACACTAGTCATTAGGCAAAGACAGGCTGTGTGATGCTGATTTATGTTTTTCCTATTTCTCAAACTGGCAGTTGCAGATTTGTGAGTATCATTGTGCAACAAAGGGCATCCTGGCATACAAAGCCATAGTCATTTTCCTGTTAAAGCAGAGACCTCCATAGAAGGATCCCTTGACATAGTATTTTTGGTGTAACTTCTCAGATAAGCTTCTTGGAAAAAAAAATTTATTCTTTCAGCTGAACCTGAAAGTGTCATTTTCAATGTGGTTGAATAAAGCTAGGACATTCATTAAGTAACACTTCTTTTTTTTTCTTTTTGGTATTCAGTTTCCAAGAGCCAGAGCAGGAAAAATGCTAAGCAGGACTTTGGTGAGTGTCAGAGTACGTTTTCATGTAAAATCCATAGAAATATTAAGCATGAAGCCACATACCTTATAAGACACATTTAAGATTGGATTATTAGAGCACGATGCCTCTCCCCAAGTTAAGGTGCAAACAAGGCAATGTGCCAATGTCAGCAGTACATTGGATTTTATTTACCAGTAAATGGATGGGACAGGGGGGTGGGAGAGTGAGAAAAATAGAAAAAAGGAAGCAGGGGGTGTCAGGAGGGAAGAGAATGACAGAGAGACATCACTGTGATAGAAAGATATCACCACCCATGGATCCAGACAGCATCCTGTTACTCCTCTTCTGGTCTTCTCCATTGGAGGGGTGCCATGAAATGTAGAGTTCAATGGGTTAACACCTTCAGGGGTCCATGGGAACACCCAAGCACCTCCCCTCCATGGGAAGAGATGTTTTACACTGTCTTTTGCTACACTGGGTCTGTTGCAAGGTCGTGGTGGAATGCCTCAGAAATGAGTCTGGGGGTGCTTTGGGGGTCTTTAATGGCTTACACATGACAGCTGCCTCTGACATCAGCAAAGTCAAGCCAGTTATGCCCCATCACAAGGGATGCATGTGTGTGAATGCTAATGTCCCTTGTGGATGTGACCTGCCCCGAGGAGGGGCAGGGGGAATATCACAACTGGGCCAGTTGCATGCTGGACAACAATTGGCATGATAAAAACACCATCCCTTCTCTGGAGAGTCTGCTTGTTATCCGGCTCAAAGCTCAGCTTGCAGCCTCCAAGGGTGGGTGTTCATTCCCTCTGTCTCATGCGGAGCAGAGGCTTCACCAGCACATCCCCAAAACCTCTCCCCATCCACCGAAGAGTGCAAACCCTGTCTCAGAGAGTCTGTGGCTGCAGCTCCCCCTGCCAGACCCAGCCAGAGCTGATGTTCCAGCACAGCTGCTCAGCTGCTTTCCTTGTGGATTCACTCTTCTTCCCCAGCCTTGGTGATTTCTCCTTAGGCCTGAGATTAACTGGACAATAGTACCACCTCCATCTTACTTCAAGTTCCCATCAGGCATCTTAACTCACAGTTCAGTTTCCCAGATTCAGGCAGGGTGGGCTTCCTGCAGCTTCTTTAGAGACTTTGCCATAGTGGGTAAAGTCCTTTGATGACCATAGCAGTGATTTTTAAGTGTCTTAGAAACAATAATACCAGTAATGTAGTAACTGATTTTTCTTCTAAAAGAAATAACTAACAGGGCAGGGAGGCAGAGGTGTCTTAAGGTTCATTTAAAAACACCATTTCAGACAAGAGGTTATTCAACCTCTGTGACCTGAAAGAAATTCCAGAAAACTGTATTGTTGATTATCTCACTTGTTTCTGAACAATTTATTCTTTAATACTCTCTTAATGATCTTGATACCAAATTCTTAAGTGTCTATTCTGCAGAGGGGTTTGGGTTTTTTTCACTCATTTGCCTATACTTAGACCAAAGAGAAACAAACATGTAGAAGGGCAGCTTAAATTGTTTTAAAATAACACAGTTACATTACATAGATGGTAAACAAAGATGGATGACAAAGTGCCATGTATACACACAGGTACCCTCATCTTCTAAGGTCTTAACTGATAGAACTTATATAGAACTTACAGTTCTTAATAGAACTGATTCTTAGATAACTGTAATCATTCCCATTCTTTACATCAGGCAGCAGGGAATTTTACTAAATATAAAATGAAACCTTTGCTTACCAGCCCTATGCTGAGGATAAGTAGATCTATGGACATTGAAAATACTTAGTTACAGAACTTTAAGAAAATACTTTTATTTTCTCCTGTAATAAGCAATATTGTTGTTTCATTGCTGTCATTTATTGTTAGGGGGTGTGTGTTTGGCCAAACAGTACCCTTAGTCAAGGCATAGGTAAGAGACACATTTTTAAAAAAGATTTTTGTAAATTACATCTTGCATTTTTGCAAATTCATTGAATTATGAAAATCTGTGAGAGTACAGTAATAATAACAAGTGAATGGAAGTGCTTTAAAGAAAAAGCATGAAGTAGAGCACCAAAGAACATTTAGGAGTGTGTGATAATAAACAAATGAGGCAGAGGGAGACCTTGGGAGGCTCATAGCAGGCAGAAGCTGTGCAAAGACAAGGCAGGCACCAGCTGATGGAAACTGGATGTGCCCCAGATTAGGGCAGTGCCATAGGAGTGAAGAGCCATCTCCAGGAATCAGAAAGCACAGCTGCCAGTAGGATCCAGTAACCAGATCAACATCCCCTTTTTTGACAAATACCACCCAACACAACATTATTTACTTTCCTCTTTTGAGTCCTCTTCAGGGCTGAATTGGTTAGAATACTTCTAGATGAGCACTGTTGCACCTAAATAGCCTAAAATTACTTGTGTGAAAACAGTTTCCTGATGATGCAAAATAACTCAAGGTAGGCAAAATGAAAACTGACTCTAAGCAGCTGTAGAAAGATGTGACAATAGTGAGCAATAGGGCAATGAGACGGTGGCTGAAAGTCTGTCAATAACTAGGAACTAATGTAAACAACCTTAATGAAAATAATGAAAGTAATGAAAATAACCCTTACTAAACTTACATAATTATGGGCTATAAATTAGCCTTTATTACTTGGAGTCATTGTGAGTAGTTTTCTGCAAACACTGGTTTGCTACTCAGCAGTAGTCCAAAAGGCAAACAGTGTTAGAAATTGCTTCAAAAGCAGCAGAAAACAAAGTAGGAAAGCTCATTACAACCCTGCATAAATGTCTTTGCACTTGAGTGCTGTGTACAGTTCCAGTTCCTTTATATGATAATGTGAAACTAGAAAATGCATGTATGCAACTGAAAAAATATATGCAGAGGTACGGGAGTGCATCTGTGTGAGGAGATAATTCTAGCTGAAGAGCAGACTGAGAAAGGATTGTCTTTTGATCTATAAAATTCCCAGATACACAGGAGGCTGACAGGAAGCAATCACGTGCTGGTTTTTATCACACAAGACCTTGGGAAAACTCAGTAAAAGATCAGGCAGAGAGTTTAAAACAACAGCTGGCAAAAAAAATTTCATACACTTATTAAATTAGAGTTCTATTTAGAACATCCCTATTAAATAAAATAAACCAGAAAAACAAACCTGAAATGCAGTTTGTCAGAACTCCAAGAATCTCTGAAGACAAACATGATAAATCAGCTGGAGTGTTCAATCTCACATAAACAAGGTCTGTATGGTTGATAGTATAGTTAACTATATCCACTCAAAAATAACACAGTTTGTTTCATACTTGATTTTGGCAGTGGTTGGCAGCCCCACTACTCATTTTCAGCACAATGCATGGTTTCTTTAATGCTCAGAGTGCAAAACCAAAGCAGTTTAAACACTTTGAGCTATACATTTTAAACAACAGAGAAAAAAATCTCTGG